TTCCCACTGCCCCAAGTCACTCTCATGCATCACTGGCTTCCTTGTCTCTAGCCTTGACCCCTACACACCTCTCTCCAAACTTCAGTTGAAACCACTGTGCAGAAAACATTCTGACCCCACATTGTCCCACTCTCTCCCACTTTGCAGAAACACTTACTCAAGACCCTCCCACTCTGAGCTTCCCAGCCAGGTGCTGAGACCCTGTGGGGACACAGAGCCTGCCCCTCCTAGGTGGGGTTTTTTGGGAGTGGAAGTGCCCACTTTGTAAGGGGAACCCGTCTCACTGACAGGTATGATGACCCAGCTCCAGCACCTCTTCTCCCACCCCTGCTGACCAGGAGAAGCATCCAACCCTCTCTGGTTGTGTGGGCACATGCTGGAGGTCAGCTCTGCTTCAGAGGCTGCTAAGAGGCCTGGTCACTGTTCAGTTAGGGATTGGGATGTTGTGTGGTCCTTATGCTGGGAGACTTTCTGGGGGCTCTCCCAGACAATGCACTAAGACAGGGTGGCTGGGAGAGCCACAGCTCTCAAGCTCTCTTTGCACAAGTGAGGTCTGCAGCCACATCTTTGCCTGCTCTTCACCTGTGTTCCAATCTCATAGGTAGCTCTGTTGGCTGCTTCCAGATGGTGCTCTCTGCCTGGTGAGGGGATGCTAGCAGGATTGTGAAGCCCCTTTTGACAGGAAGAGTCACCATGGGGGATAAAAGACTCTCCCTGGGCAGAGTTGTGGGTACCAGGCTGCTGCCTGGGTGCTGGGCATTGTGTTTTCAAATTGTAGTGAAATTCACATAACATAAAATGGATTGTTTTAAAGGGAACAGTTCAGTGACATTTAATACATTCACCATGTTCTGCAACCAAACATTTTAATCACCCTCAAAGGAAATGGTATAACCATTAAACAGCCATATTCCAGTCTCTCTCCTTCAGCCCCTGGCAAGCCCCAATCTGCATTCTGCCTCCATGGATTTACCTCTTCTGTATATTTCATAGCAGTCCAGGTGGCACAGTGGGTTATGTGCTGAACTACTAACCGAAAGGTCCATGATCTGAACCCATGAGGCATTCCGTAGGAGAAAGATGAGGCTGTCTTGTTACAGCCTGGGAAACACTATGAAGCAGTTCTACTCTGCCCTGTCGGGTCAGAGTCGACTCAATGCCAGAGGGTTTGGTTTGGGTTAGGGTTTGGAGTATGTTTCATATAAATGAACTCATTCAGCACATGGACTTTTGTGTCTGGTTTTTTAGAATGTTTCCAAGGTTCAACCATGTTGTTGTTGTTAAGTGCTGTCAAGTCACTTCTGACCCATAGTGAACCTGTATAGGGCTTCTGAGGAGTGACTGGTGAGCTTGAACCACTGACCTTTCAGTTCAAACTGACTTGAAGTCCAGTGCATTAACCCACAGCACCACACTGGGACTCCCAACCATGCTGTAGCATGTATAAAAACATCATTTGTTTTTGTGACAGTAAATTTCCATTGTAAGTATGCAAGAGCTTCAAAAAGTTTGTGAAAAACATGAAAAGGTAATGAAATTTTTCCAAGAACTTTTTGAAGCCCATTTATATGTTTCACATTTCGTTTATCCACTTATCTATTGATGGTCATTTTGCTACTGTGAAAGCTGGGCATTTTTAATTTCATTGCATCTAAACATCTGCTGGCCAGGTGTCCCTAGGCCCACCAGAATGGGCAGCTCCTTTCTTGTTCTGTTCAAAGACTCTCTTCAGGGTCCTAAGGGGGTTAGTGTGTCTTAGAGGCAACTCTTGCCCCAGATTCCAGCTTCCATTGGTTTCTCCTTTTTGGTTCCACACCTGGTGTAGGTAATCCTGTCTGGTCTCTGCACCACCTCACCACACACCATCACCACCCCACTGGTGAGCAGAGGACAACAGGCTGTACTGAGGGTTTAGGTGAATGGAAAGGCTATTGTGTGGACAATAGTTTAAAATAGAATTTGACATGTCACCATCCTAAAACTTCACATGTGTGCATGTGTGTACTACTCACACACCTACACCTACACACACACACACACACACACACACACACACACTGGCAGGGGTGGATCATTTCTCACAGGCAGCATCTCTCCATAGGATTTGGTCAGATACCCACGCATGCCCACTTTCCTCTTTTCTTTTTCAAAATCCTCCCATCCTGTGGCACTATTGAAAGCTGCCAACAAACAAACCATGCTTCTGGAGCAATGTAGACACCATCTCCTCCTCTCCTTAAGAGGAATTTTGCCATACTTCCAGGCCAACTGACTCCAAGTGTCATCAGTTCTTTAAAACAACACTGAAAACTCGTGCTTACTCCATTTTGTGTCCAGTATCATGGGTGTTTCCTTCCCACTTTGTACACAGGCTGTGGGGCAGGGTCAGGCAAACTTTCAGAAATGACTCTGAAAATGAACAGTTCACTACTTTCTGACTCAGTATATACTCATTGTGTTCTCCAGCTTGTTCCATGGTACATTCTTTATTTTAATTTTAATGTTTTATTGTGAATTATGTGATAGTTTACATGGGACAACATTAGTTTTACAATCATTCTTTCGAATATCGTTTCATTGCCATGGTTACAATCCCCTCCATGCATCATCAACCAACCAAAGGATATACCCTGCAAACCTGCCCCTCCCACTGGTCATCAGCACACAGCCCCTCTCCCTCTCTGGGTCTACAGTCCCCATCTGCTCCATCTCTCCACGTCATTGTCTCTGCCTCCATCTCTGGCATCACTGCTTCTCTGGGTAGGTTCCCGCTCTCCACTCTTCCCCATTGATGATCCCAGGGTCCTCCACTCCTAGACTGCAAAGTCAGTCACTCCCCTCCTTGCTACAAAATGTCTACCTTTACATTTCCAACCCTCACAATCAGTCCTAACATTTATTATCTATTGTATCACAAGAGACCTATCCGCATTTCCTTTCATCAGCCCCGCCTAGACAGATTGGATACTACTCACTGGAGATTCTACCTTCCTCTACGCCCTCTGGATCTAGGCTCTCTCTTGGAAGCTTGTAAGCCAGTCACTTCTTGCCTTTGTATCCACCCACTTTGGGTAGCCAATGTCCAAGTTGCCCATCCCTGCCTACTCTGTGTATGGAGGGGGTGGGAATGATCCTTGCTGTAAAGATTTGTTCCATCTTTTGAGCTACTGCATCCATAGGTGTAGGTCAAGTTCATCAAATTTTATCAAAATTGTATCAGATTACTCCTTTTTTCCTCTTCTAGTTGAGCTCTGATCATCTATTCATTGAAGCCAGGTCAAGTGGGTATTATCTGCAAGTGTGGGTGTTCTTGTGCATATGTCGTCTCTTCTTATCAGCTGGATGTTTCATTCTCCACTCTAGTCCTTTGTGGCTATGTCACTGACGCTGGGCCCAAGAGTCCCCAGGTCTTGTCACACTGCTGGCCAACCAGGTCTCCACCTGGGTTCACAGAAGTTTATTGAACGTTGTAGGGCTTAGCTTACAGCTTCATTGCTGTTTTTCCCTCAACTCCCCTTATTGGTGACGAATGTGGTCACCAACCAGGGTGTGTATTCCCACTGAGTCTTAGTCTTGGAAGGGGGTTTGCTCTGAGGGGACCTGAACACTTGCCTTTATGTCTCCTTGGCGAGCAACTTGCTTGTTCTTGTAGTAATCAGTCAGTCTGCCTATATTGTTTTGTATTTTTCCTATCGGTCTTTCTTTAAAGAAGTATCTTCTGTTCTTCTAGCTGCTCCAGGCTGGTCTGCCTGTCCTTTCAAGTGGAAATTTCCCACTTCTGAAGATTCTGGATGCTGTTCAGGATTCTACCTATGGTCTTATGTAATGCAGAGGCTCGGCAGGAAGCCTCCTTCACTAGGCACGTTGTAGCCCCATTTTAGGCATTCCAATCAGTTATAGGCAGAAGATGGACTTACAAGCTTTCTATGGTGATATTTCTGGCTATTTCTTTCTCTTTCCCTCCAGTGTCTATTTTATAATGGTATGCAAGGGAAACCAAGATGCAAAAGACAGACAAGCATCTTAACATTATTTCCCCCCTTTTCCCCATTTCAACCATGTCTCAATCCCTGTATCCCAGAGCCCTGTTGTTCCAAGGTTGTGCATACATCATTCTTTACCTCTGTCCTACTTACATGGTGTGTTCTCTTTTAAAAGCTTGCTTGTAGATTATTATTGCTAGGAGTTTAGCTTTCACTCTGAGTGACCTAAAGATGGCTGGATGCTTTGGAGCAGAGAGGGGATGTTACTGATTTAGGTTTAAGCAGGCTTTCCCTCTTTAGAGGACACACTGTAGCTGGAAAGCATCTGCAGTACTGCAGGGGAGAGCCGATGATGGCCAGGACCATGGTGCTAAGACATGGTCAGATTGTGGACATAGTTTGAAGGAAGTAATGATCAGTTCTGCTGGTACATTGGATGGGGAGTGGGAGGAGAAGAGAGTCAAGGATGCCTGCAGGAGCTCTGGCCTGGATGACTGCAGAGATGGACTTGACCTTTTCTGAGAGGGGAAGATGCAGCAGGAGGTGGGAGAAGAGCAGGGGTTTAGTTTGGGAATGTTGTTTCAAGAGCCTATTAGATGCCAATGTGGAGGTGAAATATGCAGTTGGAAATCATCTGAGATTGTAATTAAGTGGTGGAGGTGGGAGGGGCGGGAGTGGAAGGCAGTAAATACCCTAAATAATGGCTTTGTGATCGTCCCCTCCACACACCCCTCAATTCCAGTTAGCTGGAAAAGCAAAGAATCACATTTTGGTCAAGAAGTAGCTCTAGAGAGCATCCTACAGAATGGGGTAATTGAGGCCTTACGAGTGCAGGTAACTTGCTCAAGGTCCCGCTGTCAGTTAGTGACAGAGCTAAGACATAATCAAATCTTCAGACCCCAGCCCCCTACTCTGCTTACCATATCCTCTGTCACTGCTCTGTGTCCCTGAGACTGCACCCATGGATTGAAGGTGAACAGACTGTGGCTGATGACTCTCATTTCTGCTTTCCTCCAGGTCACCATCCTTGTCAGCCTGGCGCTAGCTTTTCTTGCCTGCATTGTGTTTCTGGTGGTTTACAAAGCCTTCACCTATGACCACAGCTGCCCAGAGGGATTTGTCTATAAGGTAAGGGTCTTGTGCCAGGTGAGTGACCCAGGTCACTATCAGCTTCAATGGGAGGGTTTCACAGTGTCTTTTCTTCATTGGCATGTGTCTTGTAGGAGTCCCTGGGTGGTACAAATTGTTAAGCACTGGGCTTAGGCACTACCAAACAGTTGGCAGTTTGAACCCACCTAAATGTACCTTAAAGGAGTTCTGGTGTGGCACTAGCATGCTAACCGAAAGGCTGAAGGTTCAAACGCACCAGCTGTTCCTTGGAAACGCTCTACAGGGTTACTATGAGTTGTTGTTGTTGTTGCAACTAAAAGGCACTTAACAAGAACAACAAATGTGGCTTGGATGAAAGGTCTGGTGGTCTGCTTCCGAAAGGTCACAGACTTGAAAACCCTATGAAGCAGCTCTATTCTACAACACTTGGGGTTGCCATGATTCAGAATTGACTCAATGTCAGTTGGTTGGTTTTTGGTTTTATGTGTCTGATAAAGAGTTATCCAGCTTTTGTGAAGGATTCAGTTTCAAGTTGGCAGTGGAACTCCTCCTTCCCGATGACACTCTGGAGCCCGAGTCAGAATGTGTCCAGGTGCAGACTGCACATCGTCAGGGAGGGCGAGCTCACTACTTGGTGAGATAGACTATTCCATTTTCAGAGAGCTCTGGCTTGGCATGGGTCTTCCTTGTGTGATGGTGGTTCCTTTCCTCCATGATGGTCTTGCAGAGATATGGAAACAAGGCATGGGTGCTTCTGAACCTCTTGTTCCCAGATTTGAGCTAGGTCTTGCTCTTCTCCCTGGGTCCCCCCACCACTGCCCATTGTACTTCTTCCATTAAAAAAACTGAACTAGCAGTGTGACCTTGAACTTGTTGCTAAGTGCCGCTGAGTTGGTTCCGACTCATAGCGACCCTGTATAGAACTTCCAAGGAGCGACTAAAAGCCTCAATTTTCTTGTCTGTTAAATGGGGCCTGATAATGCCCGCCTTCGGGATTTTTCAGAAGTCTAAATGAGAGAATTTAAGTAAAAACAGTTTGCAGAGGGCCTGCTGTGGGCGCTTAACAAATGTGAATTGCAATAAGGATAGAATCTGTTTTAGAGCTAAAACAGACAATAATAATATTTATAAATTACCATTTAATGATTATCTACTGTTTCAGGTTCTTTTGTTAGACATTTTCAGAAACATTATCTCATTTGAATTTTCTAAATATTCTGTAAAATAACATTTACTGTCCATATTTATATGTGTAAATCATATGGGAAATATTTAAGACTGTGCTAAGCATGCAATATATTAATTAAGGTAAAGTTGCACTGGTGTGGAGCTGTACGAAAAGCATTAGACTGCTAACCACAAGATCAGTGGTTCAAACACACCAGTTGCTCCTTGAAGACCCTACACAGGGTCACTATAAGCCAAGATTGACTAGGTGGCACATGACAATTATAACAGCAACCTGATCTACCAGAGAAATGTGTCCCTGAGTGGTGCAAATAGTTAAGCACTCAGCTATTAACTGAAAGGTTGATGGTTCAAGTCCACCTAGAGGCATCCTAGAAGAAAGACCTAGTGATCTCCTTTTTTTAAAAAAAATGTTTTATTGTGAATTATGTGATAGTTTACATGGGAGAACGTTAGTTTTACATTCATTCTATGTACATTGTCTCTCATTGCCATGGTTACAATTCCCTCCATGCAATCCTTCCCCCATACCCCCAGGTCTTCAGCACACAGTCGCTCTCCCTCTCTGGATCTAAAGTCTCCAGCTGCTCCATCGCTCCATGTCATCATCTCTGGCTCTCCTTTTGAAAGATGACAGTCCTTGAAAATCCTGTGGAGCACAGCTCTACTCTGACACATGGGGTTGCCCTGAGTTGGAATGAACTCCATCACAATTGGTTTGGAGTTTACTTGGGAATCAGATAAACCCTAATCTTAATGGATTAGCACAATGTTGCTGCTAACTAAGTGTCTTTGTGTAAGTTCTAACTCATGCAACCTTGAGCAGGGTTTCCAAGTGGCTGGTTGGTTTGAACCACCGATATTGCATTTAGCAGTCTAGTGCTTATCCTACAATGTCACACCAGGACTCCTAGCACAATGGTGTTGTTGCTAAGTGCCATCAAGTCGATTCTGACTGATAGCGACCCTGTATAAAGTTTCCGAGGAGCAGCTGGTGGGTTTGAACTGCCAACCTGTGGTTAGCAGTCCAGTACTTATGCTATAGCAGCCCACCAGGAGTCCTAGCACAATGTTGTTGTTGTTAAGTACCATGAAGTCGGTTCCGACTCATCGTGACCCCTGCACAGGGGTTTCCGAGGCTGCAAATCTTTACAGGAACAGAAAGCCTTATCGTTCTCCTGAGGAACAAACAGCTGGTAGTTTCTAACTGCCGACCTTGAGGTTAGCAGCCTGATTCGTAACCACTATGGCTGCGAACCTTAAGGTCAGCGGTTCGAGACTACCAGCCGCTCCACGGGAGAAAGATGAGGCTTTCTACTCCCGTAAGGATTTACACCCTCGGAAACCCTGTACAGGGTAGCTATGGGTCGGAACCGACTCAAAGGCACTTAACAACAACAACAACATGCTACCAGAGCTCTAGCACAATAGAGGTGTATTAATCTGTTTTTCACTCACTTTTCAGGACCTGGGATCCCTTCTGTGGCTTTGCTTTCCAATAGGGAAAGTTTTCTCAACTTCAGCACCATTAACATGTGGAACATACTTTGTTGTAGATGGCTGCCCTAGGCATTGCAGGATGTTTAGCAACAGCCCTCTGCCTACTGGATTTGTTGTTGTGAAGTGCCGTAGAGTTGATTCTGACCCACAGCAACCCTGTATAGGGTTTCTGAGGAGCAGCTGGTGAACTTGAACTGACGACCTTGCAATTCAAACCGACCTTGCCGTCTAGCACATTAAACCACAGCAGCAGAGAAATAAGCAAAAATGTCTGCAGACATTGCCAATTGTCCTCAGCGAGGCAAGGCCACCATATTGAGAGTCACTGCTCTAGGGCCTGCAGGGGTGGTGGAAGGGGAGGGATTCTAGCCAGCAAACGGACAAAGGTAAGGTGAGCCAAGGCTCTCATTTCTTAGCACTTCAGAGCAAGGAGGAAGCAACTCCTTTTCACTCTCATTTCATTGGCCAGGAAGAGTCACATGGTCCCTGCCAGGAGGTAGTGGGAAGTGTAGTCCCTGTAGAGGTAGCTGCTGTCCTGCAGACTCTCAGGAGTATATAAAGGTTGGTGGCCAGCTAGCCATCTCTGCCACACCTGGTCAGCTTTTCGTAAATGTCAGAAACCAGTTTACTTGAAATATGTCATTTACTCATGACCTCAGATGCAGTCATTGTATCCATTAAACCAAAAAAGGAAACTGAGGCTCAGAGAAGAGATGTGATTTATTTCTCCAAGGTCATTATCTTTTTTTCTTTAATTTTCATGTTAATTTTTTATCGTGAAATGGGTGACGGTTTACAGAGTAGATCCATTCAACAATCCACACACATTTTGTTTCATGTCATTGATTGCGGCCCCCACAAGGTAACATGACTTAACCCATTTCCTCCTGTATTTCCTGTTTCCATTCTTCTTTCTCTTCTAACCCTTCTGAACTTTGTCCTTGGGTAAATGCTGCCCTTTAGATCTCAAATGGTTGATTGTTCTGAGGTTTATGTACCTCCCTAGTGTTATTGTTTCCCTATAGACCTGCCCACTGTTTGGCTGAAAGTTGAGTCTTGGAATAAGTTAATTCCAAGGCCATTGTCTTAAATTGGGTTCCCTAGAAGCAGAACCTGAGATGACGATTCTCATGCAAATGATTCATTGATAGACAGTCGACTCCCCAGAGGAATCTGGGAGAGAGGGAAGCAGACCAGGCCAGGGAAGAAGTCTCAAAGCACCATGGCACCTGTGAATGCCTGCCTAAGCTTGCCCCCACAGAAACTCCACAGCAGGAAGGATAGCCCAGAGTCACCCCACTTTGAGGCAATGGGGTCTGGCTTTTATTCCTTTGTACCACTCAATTTTTGGCTATTGGCTTTCCTTGGAAAGAGGGTATGTAAATAAGACATGTCTAGAGTGCCCCTTGACTGTAGGCAATGCCCCAGAGGAGTAGTTAGGGTGTGGGTGAACTCGCCTATTGGAGAGCGCCCAATTGGGGCACCAGCATCCCTAGAGTGATCTATTCAGTCAGCAGAGGAGCTTGGCTTTGATACAATATCAAAATCAGGTGCCTCTCTCCCAGCTTCAAGTAAGTGGCAGGTTTGATGATGATGGTGATGCTGATGTTGAAGAAGGCCTGCTGTGTGCTAGGCACAGGCCAGGTGTTATCACCTGCTCTCACACTGAGAGCCTGATGTGGCTCCCAGATGGGTTAGAAGCAGTCTCTAAATTATCCCTGAACTCTGTCTTTTTCCTCCCCAGCACAAGCGCTGTATCCCGGCCTCCCTGGATGCTTACTACTCATCCCAGGACCCCAACTCCAGAAGCCGCTTCTACACGGTCATCAGCCACTACAGTGTGGCCAAGCAGAGCACTGCCCGGGCCATCGGGCCATGGCTGTCGGCGGCTGCTGTCATCCATGAGCCAAAGCCACCCAAGACCCAGGGCCACTAGAGGCTCACCCCAGCCAGAATGGGGGGTGGAGGGGGGCCCCGGTTGGCTAAGCCACGCTTCAGTTACAAGACAACACTGTACTCCTGGGATATGGGGGGGGGGGAGGGGAGGGGGGGGGGGAGGAACTCACTGAAACTTTCGTGCACTGGAGCTGTCTGAATCTAGATTTCTTTTTGTCCCTTGGTATCGTTGATTCGTCCCAGAGTCAGGCTTATGTACAAAGGCATGTTTCATGTTGATTGTTCCCATGTAAGATATTTTCAAAGCCACTGCTTATTCTTTGTTTGGAAAATTTAAAAGCAGAAAAGGAAAGAAGCAAAGGCAATGAACAACAACAACAAATCTATTAAATTGGTTATATCTGGACAGTGTTGAAGGGAAGGAAAGATGATAGATTCTGTTGACTTTCCTGCATGCGTCAGAGGATCTGGAACACACAGTGACTCAGACTTGGCTCCCTGATTCTCTGATTGTCTGCAGGATAGACACATGGGAGTTAGAAATGGCTAACTAGAGAGAAGGCCTGAGTTCAGCATAGGTAAGCCCAGGACATCCTGGTGTGGCACTGTAGGATCAGCACTGGACTGGTAACCACAAGGTCGCTGGTCCAAACCCACCAGCCACTCCTTGGAAACTCTATATAGGATCTCTATGAATTGGAACTGACTCCATAGCACTAAACAACAACAACAGGCCCAGAACACATAAACCCCAGAGTAAAATGTCCTTATCTCTGGTGGGTTGTACCAGGTTAACAGGCAGACCCCAGGGCCTAGAGTCTGAGATTGCACGCTAGGGGGATGTATGCTTTGTTGAGCAAACATTGAGAAGTGGGAATATTTGCTTTTGTCTTTTCCTTGTTTTTCTATATCAACACCTGCAGAATGCCCATGTTTAAGAGACAAAAACGGTAGAAAGGGTGAGAAGGAGGCAGAGGTCACGGGAGGGGGGAAGGCATAGGATAGGTGTGCAACATGTGGCCAAGCTATAAGCAGAGGCACCAAGCTTTTAAAAAAATTTGTTTGTTTGTTCTTTCCCAAAGTGCTAATAACTATGGTAGAACCCATGAAGATTAGGCCCCTAACCAGGAACTCAAGTGACTGCCAAGAAGATTTGAAGAATTGGGCTGCCACAATGTCAAATTACTTCTAAAGGAATCTGAACACAATGGGCCGGTCTTTTGCCTTCTCAGTTGTGTTGACAGGGGACATTTGTCCTAACTCTGAATAACCTGGTTGTAGAAACTTCTAGAAGCTGTGGCAAGTTGGTGACATCCAACACTGACCAAGCCTTTCAATGCCCTGGAATCACACCAGACACTCCCATGTTCTTACACAGCATTCCAGGGAGGCAGGCCCATTCAGTGGGGTGTCAGCTCCAAGCCCAATAGGACCAGAACTGGCTTGGAGAATTGGTTATTTGAAATGAGGTACTGCTTTACCATGCATCTTTGACAGGACATTTAAATGGCATTTTTTGGTAGCTTGCTATATTGCTGAAATCATTATACACAACAGCTGGGTAATAAGACTAGAATAGCTCAAACTCTCTTGCCAAATGCTATCTACTGATGTTTCGTACCTTTTCCTCTAATGCCCCTCCACCTCAAGTCACCTGTAAATTCATTTATCATCTGAAGCGGAATAACAAATTGTCCCTAGCAAAACCGCTGAGCGCTTTATAATTTTGTGGTGTATTTTTGTCAGTAGGTAGCAGAGGCTGAAGTATTTTTTGGTGTAATTCTTGAAATTTTCTGACAGGAAACAAATAAAGATAGATGTGTCTGAGAGTTTTGACCTTCCCTTTGCCACATTCTTTTCTCTTCTTCTCAGTGAGCCTAATGAAGAAGATGCTGGGAGTTGGGGGGGTGGGGGCTCCATAGGGCAGATTGCCCTGTTAGGCTTGGCCTGGCCTTGGGTTGTGATGGGACAGGCACCCTCCATTCAATGGGGCCTGAACTAATGTTGAGGCCATAAGCAAGGGTCAAGAAATGTGCCTGGTGACTTTTCTTCATTCTGGGTTCATTGCTGAGCACCTTCTCAAGGTCAGGCCTGTGCACATGTCACACACTGATGACTGACACATATGCATTGCCCTGGACTCCTGAGGGAGAGGTGGATGCAGGAACAGAAGAGCCAGATGATGCGATTGGCCTAAAGCAGCTGGTTGTCAAGGAGGAACATTATGAGTGATGAGAGGGGTCTTCTACAAAATTAGCTCATTTAATGTTTATTGTAAGCTTGGCTGAGTCCCTGGGTGGTGCAAATGATTAACATGCTCAGCTGCTCATCAAAAGATTTGAGGTTTGAGTCCACTCAGAAGCACCTCAGAAGAAAGATCTAGTGATCTACTTCTGAAAAGCTAGTCATTGATAATTCTATGGAGTACACAGTTTTATTCTGACATGCTTGGAATTGCCATGAGTTGAGATTGAGTCAATGGCAGTTAGTTAAATGGATTGTACCTCAACAAACCAAAAACAACAACAAAAAAATTAACCATTTGCCATTGATTCAATTCTGACTCATGGTGAACATGAGTATCAGAGTAGAACTGTGCACTATAGGATTTGTGTGAATGTGGTTGTTGTTGTTAGTTGCTATTGAGTTGGTTCCGATGCATAGGGACCCTATGAAAACAAAATGAAACACTGCCTCATCCTGCATCATGCTCACAATTGTGGTTATACTTGAGCACTTTGCTACTACCACTGTGCCAATCCTTTGCATTGGGGATCTTCCTCTTTTTCACTAACCCTCCACTTTACCAAGTATGATGTTCTTCTCCAGAGATTGGTTCCTGCTGATAATGCCCAAAGTATGAGAAATGAAGTCTTGTCATCCTGTCTTCTAAGGAGCATTCTGGCCGTACTTCTTCCAGCACAGATTTATTTGTTCTTCTGGCAGTCCATGGTATTTCTAATACTCTTCTGAAACACTATAACTCAAATGCATCAATTCTTCTATGGTCTTCATTATTCATTGTCCAACTTTCACATGTATCTGAGGCTACTGAAAATACCATGGCTTGAGTCAAGCACACCTTAAACTAACATCTTTGCTCTTGAACTCTTTAAAGAGATTTTGCACAACAGATTTGCCTAATAAAATATACCATTGGTTTCTTGATTGCTGCTTCCATGACCATTGATTCAAGCATAATGAAGTGTTTGATAACTTCAACTTTTTTTCCCATTCATCATAATGTTATTTATTGGTCAGGTGTGAGGATTTTTGTTTTCTTTACATTGAGGTGCAACCCACACTAAAAGCTGTGGCCTTTGATCTTCATCAGTCAATATTTTAAGTCCTCTTTGCTTTCAGCAAGCAAGGTTGTATTATCTGCAACTTGCAGGTTGTTAATGAGTCATCCTCCAATCCTGATACTATGTTCTTCTTCATATAGTCCAGCTTCTCAGATTATATGCTTAGCATGAAGTTTGAGTAAGTATGGTGAACGAATACAACCCTGACACACAATTTTCCTACTTGAAACTATTCAGTGTTCCCTTGTTCTTTTTAAATGACTGCCTCTTGGCCTCTGTACAGGTTTCTCATGAGCATAATGAAATGTTCTGGAATACCATTAAAAATGTTTTTTTTTTTTTTTTCAGTGTTATCCATGGCATATCATAATCCACAAAGTCAAAAGCCTTTGCATTGTCAATAAAATACAGGTAAACATTTTTCTGTTGTTCTCTGCTTTCAACCAAGATCTATCTGACATCAGTAATGATATCCCTCATTCCATGTCCTCTTCCAAATCTGGCTTGAACCCCTGACAGTTCTCTGTTGATGTACTATTGTCGTCATTTTTAAATTATCTTTAGAAAATTTTACTTGCATGTGACATTAATTATATTGTCTATTGTATTACCTCTCTTTGGAATAGGCACAAATATGGATGCCTTCCAATCAGTTGGTCAGGTAGCTATCTTCCAAATTTCCTGGCATAGATAAATGAGTGGCTCCAGGGCTGCATCAGTTTGTTGAAAGATTTCAATTTGTAGTCCACCAATTCTTGGAGCTCTGTTCTTTGTAATGTCTTCAGCGGACTCCTTATTTAGTAACATTGTCTCTTGATTATATCCTGCCTCTTGAAATGGTTGAACATCAGCCATTTCTTTTTGGTACAGTGACTCTGTATTCCTTCCATCTGCTTTGTTTGATGCTTTCTACATCATCAATATTTTGCTCATAGAATCCTTCAGTATTAGAAGTCATGGCTTGGAGCTTTTCTTCAGTATTTCTTTACTCTCAGTTAGACCCTTTCGGCTTTGAAATGCTGATCATGTTCTTCTCTTTTGGTTTTCTAACTCCAATTCATTATAATACTTGACTTAGTCTTCTCCAGCTGCTCTTTGAAATTTTCTATTCAGTTCTTTTACATCCTCATTTTGCTTTAGCATCTCTATGCTGGAAAGCAAGTTTCAGAGTCTTTTCTGACACCAATTTTGGTCCTTTCTTTCTTCTTATTGACCTTTTGCTTTCTTCTTGATGTCATCCTACAACTCTTTTGATCTTTGGTCGTTAATGTCTAATGCATCAAATCTGTTCTTGAAGTGGTCTCTAAATTCTGATGGAGTGTGTTCAAAGTCATATTTTGGCTCTTTGGACTGGTTAAAAATTTCTTCAGCTACAGCTTGAACTTGCATATGAGCAACTGATGGTCTGTTTCACAGTCAGCCCCTGACCTTGTTTTGGCTGATGATATAGAACTTTCCCATGGTCTCTTCTCACAGATGTAGTCAATTTGATTCCTGTATTCCCTCTGGTGAGGTACATGTCTATAGTCAACTTTTATGTCAGGTTGTCGTACTGTGGTAGCGTGCATGTTACTGTGATGCTGGAAGCTATGTGACTGGTATATTTTTTAATATTTTATTGTGAATTATGTGATAGTTTACATGGGAGAACATTAGCTTTACATTCATCCTATCATATATCGTTTCATTGCCATGGTTACAATCCCCTCTATACATCATCAACCAACCAAATTCTGTCCTCTGGTCATCAGCACTCAGTCCCTCCTCCTCTCTGGGTCTAGTGTCCCCAGCTACTCCATCTCTCTGCGTCATCATCTCTGCCTCCATATCTGGGGTCATTGCTTCTCTGGGTAGGGTCTCACACTCCGCTCTTCTCCCTTGATGGTTCCAGGGACCTCCGCTCCTGGACTCC